GGGTTGAACAGTTGGTAAACCATTCCAAGAAGAAGACATTCTAATCAGAGAGAAAGCCTTAAATTCTGTATATATAAAATGCAGTCTAAGCCATATCACAGGGCTACTGTGACCTCTCAAGAGATTCTACTGACCCTAGAAGGAAATAATGAGGCATGTATGCCAGTGCTTTATAAGCTACAAAATGCTACACACAGTGTCTAGTATGTTAAATACATTATTATTTCTCCTACACTTGCAGCATGGTGCTTACTTCTAAAATTAAGAAATAATTGGAAAACTTTGGACCCTTTTTTCCACCTTCCCCTAAAGAGTTCATGTATCAGAATTACTTACTGCTCACAAACAAGAACGAAAAATATATTTACAGCAAGAATATACGGCCTAGGTGATTCCTCAAATGAATTCTTAGTAAACAAAGCTAATCTTTCTCAAACTAGCACAGCAATCCCAAAACGTCTAGGTTTTCTATCTGAATAAAGTCATGTCTTCTGTCATTACCTCTCCTCGAATATTAGTAAGCTGCTCCTTCACTGCCACCACGTGCTTCACATGCACACACACCAACCCTACTCATACCTGTCATCTTTGCCTCTGCTGACCCTTTCAATCAATGTGTGCTGGTTCATTCTTCAACAAACTCATGCCCCGTGACTCTGAAGGGCTGCCTACAAGCTGAAGAGTATTTTCACAGGGCAGGGTAGGAGATAGTTATTTTTGGTGCTTTGCCCCTGAGTTTTTTTTTCTTTTATAAAAGACCCCATTCTACCCAGGATTCTTGACTTCACTCAGAAAAAATTATGTAAAAATTAACATTGTTATTTAACTAGAGATTGCTAAGGTTGAATACTTAACATTTTTCTCAGTAATAATTCACAAAAATTTAAGGACATTATTAGACTTTTTAGCTGCTTGTAGATGGACAACTAAGGTGAAAGTTTAAGTGGGCTGTTGGTTGAAAGTGAAATCAGTTTACCATCCTCTGGAATTACATGTTAATTTAATCTCAATAAACTCTGCTAAACACTGAACAGAATGTTTCTCCTCTATCACTCTCTTTTCTTTTTTTTTTTTTTGACCTTTTAAATTATATCACTCACTTTTGGTCACAATGACCTCTCACAATCCTGCCATCTTACAGTGCGTGTTGTCAGCGTCACACATTTTAGCTTATAACTAAAGATGATCCTGTACTACTGTCAATGCATTCATCTTCATGGATTAGTTACCCTACAAGATTTTTCTTTTGATTTTACCACAAGGGATTGGCTAGTACAATTTAGGGGGCTGGAAAAGCAAGTCCAAAGTCCACAGGACAGGCAGGCAGTCAGGAAAGGAAGATGACAAGCAGGCTGGAACTCCACAGGCACAAGCTGAAGCTCTCTGTTCACAGATGCAAGTCAGGAAGACACAGGAGGAAGGGAGAGCAATTCCAGAGCCAGAAGCTCTATGGAGTCCTGACTTCAGGGAAATTCTAAGTTCTCTTTTAAAGGCTTTCATGCAAATTAAGTTAGGCTCGCCCCAGGCATTCTTCCTTTTTATTAATTTAAAGTTTGACCACTAGGGACCTTAATCACATACGCAAAATCCCTCCACAGCAAAATCTAGACTAGGGTCTTAATGACTAGAAGAAGTTATGTATATGCCACCAAAGGACCACTCCTTCTCATTCTCATGGGAGGTTATCCTTTGCAATCTGCCCTAACCAGACACTTATGAGACAAAGAATTCACTGTAGTTCTGTCAAGTCAAACTAACATCAAAAAGCCATCACACTGAACATGTGGTATGCAGGACATAGATGACACTATCACTGCTCTTAAAGAAGAAATGAAGGCTTATGTAAATAAAATAAAGTTATTTCCTATCTCACCAAATGTCTGGTTCTGTGCTATATATACATAACACATACACAATAAACACTGGAAGAAATAATTGATGGTCTTGGCTAATTTCTACCCAATTTGATTATGACTAATTTGAGCACTAAACAGGTTTGATGAATACATTGTTTTGTCTGCATAAAAATGATGTGAGGGGAAGCAAGAATTGAGTTAATGACCACTTGTTGTTTTTGTCACTTATTTCTGTTAAATACATACTAACTGGTTATTTCTGAAAACAGCACAAAAATGCCCCTATTATGTTTAATTGATTATGTTTAATGGAAGCAGGCTAGTTCAAATTCATAGCATAAGCCATCAATAAGAGCCTTCAAGATAAGTGAAGAAATAGTAATAACCTATCCTTTGAGGTCAATGGTATAATTCATCCATTCATTCAATAAATACTTATCAAGTGCCTTCAGTGTGCTATCATTGTTCCATGTGCTGGAGATACAGTGGGGGACAAAACAAAGTTTCTATACATACAGAGGATGCATTATGTGAGAGGTGACAAAAAATAAACATGTGAACAGTTTAACATACAAAAATATCAGTTTATCTGGGTGGATTCAAAAACTTTGGACCTGAAATTTTTCATGGCCTTCATTAAAAAAAATAAATAAAACACCCAAAATCAGTGAATACAAAATTAGATACAAATTAATACTTATTTAGAATGGAGAAAAAATGATAAATCTTACAATCGAAAGCTGACAATCGAAAACATCACAAAATTCAGGAAAATGCCATACTCTTTTTTGACATGGTTGATCAAAATTTGTGGAGCTTTTTCATTATTATTGGTGATTTAGAAATAATTCTTTCAGCTTCACAATTCATTATTGGTAATGTCATGTAAATTTTTGTAGTACATTACAAGTTTTTGTGCTACAACACAGAAAATATGATCATTCTATTTTACATAACTCCCATCAAAAAAGAATATAGGCTTCTCATTATGTAATTGTTATATGATATATTATCAAGTATATCCTGATAAGACAGCATTTCTGTTTCAATTGTGTCAATGGCAACTGCATCCTCCCACTATAATTTTATAAATCTGGTGATTAAAATAATTTTGCACAGATTAGCTTCTGGTGCTTTACACAACAAACATTGTTTCTTCCCCTATTACCCTCATAGTTTAATTTCTGTTTCAAGAACTGTGGGACACACAAATTGTCCCGATATCTCTCCCTGCTCTTCCATCACACAAATGGTGACTGTATCCCAACTCAGCTTCCCCTTGGCTAAACCCCACAAAGCCTGCAGCCACTCTAATGCTACCTGTTGGAGAAGAAAATGGGATATATGATTATGGTTTTAAAAAACTTACTTATACAATTTTTACAAAAATATAGGCCAAGCAAGAGGCCTGGAATAATGAGAGGTAAGGTTAGTAGGGCAGTTTGGCAGAGAATTTACTGAGTAATTTTTGGAAATTTTTGCTGATTTATGCTGTCATATCACTGCTTCCTCCCCTAATGACTGTTGGTCTTACTGATCTTCAGCTGTGACAGAATCCGTAAGGGTGCAGAGGTGAACCCTAGACTACTACAGACTTTATACACCGGGGGACAAGAACTGGGTCAAGTCAGTCTCAGATCCAGGACCTTCATCACGTTACTGCCTTTGAGTAGAGTAAGACACCTGAAATACTACGTCAGGCTTTTCTTCTGTTTCAGTCTCCCACCCCACCCCCAGTGCTGTCTTCCTCCACAATGACTAGCAGAACTGCTGTGCAGTGCGAGGGACGCCGCGAAGCTAAACAAAAAGCCTCTCCCAGCTCTGCTTTCCAAAAGCCTACGGTCCTGCTGGGAGCTGGTGAACTGAAAAGACTTCTCCTAACCTCAAAACTTCAGAAAACAATAACAAAGAATTCTGCCTCTGGTCCCTAGACAGAAGAGATTTCTCCACTAAAGAAATAAAAAGAGTTGGAGGGGAAATGGTGAGAGTGCAGGAATGAGTGACAGATGTCCAAGGGGTGAGGAGGGTGGCATGAGCCTGGATTTCTGGGCCCTGTGTCCTACTTCTAAACAAATCTCTGGAGAGCCACCAAGATTCCAGGGAGAAAAAGATGCATAGAAAATCTAGGCAGATGGGCGTCAGCACGATGGTGACTTGAGTGCTTCAACACAGCATTTATTCCACACAGACCACTGAGGGGGCCAACCAGACAGGAGAGAGAGATGTGTCGGAGATAACCTGTGTGGACTAAGGACCAGACAGGAAGATGGACATCGAGGCAGACATTGTGAGGTCAAACGACATGAAGAGTCCACTCTGCTAAGAGGGAGAAGAGAGGTTTCTTTTTTTTTTCTTCTAGTTTTATTGAGATATAATAAGACATACAGCACTGTATAAGTTTAAGGTATACAATGGTTTCACTGACATACATCATCAAATGATTACCACAATGTTTAGTGAATATCCATCACCTCATATAAATACAAAATAAAAGAAGAAACAATAATTTTCCTTGTGAGTAAATCTTAGCATTTACCCTCTTAACAACATTCATATATAACATACAGCAGTGTTAATTATATTAATCATGTTGTACATTATATCCCTATTACTTGTTTATCTTATAACTTGAAGTTTGTATCTTTCCATCACCTTCATCTAGTCCCCCTCCTCCCATCCCCTCCTTCTGGGCTATGAGCTTGTTTGTTTTGGGGGATTTTTTTTGAAGTATAATTGACCTACAACACTATGCTAGTTCCTGGTGCACAACACAGCAATTCGATATTTCCAGGTATTACAAAGTGATCACTGTGATAAGTCTAGTTGTCATCTGTCACAAAGATACTACATTATTATTGACTGTAATCCCCACACTGTCCATTTCATTCCCGTGATTCATTTATTTTTTAACTGCAAGTTTGTACCTCTTAATCTTTGGTAAATATTTCTCTAATTGACTGGGATTACATTTCTTCCACCTTGTCAGAATGGCAGACTAAAAATAAATATAAAATCAAGGTATAAAATATGGAAGAGTTATAAATAGAATTATTAAAAATTATATATAGAATTAAGAATTGAAATAAGACAAACAAAAATAACTATAAATGTGCATACACACATGCACACATATATCCTTCATACCTGAATTGTGCCCTGAAGAGCATATCTTCTACACCTGGTTATCAGAGGCCAGGCTATTCCATCGTAGGCATTCAAACAATGGCTTCCCCTAAGAAAAATCAAAGAATTTATTAATGAAAGAAAATTTCAAAATTCTCAAGGGAATTCTACATAACTTTCAGTAATTCAGACAAGTTTTCTTTCATGGTGAAAGGCATTAATATTAATAACTCTGAGTCTATGTCTGACGGCATATTTCATACTCTAAGTGGGAAAAGGTGTGTTTAAGTGTTAATCTATTATTGTTAAAGCTAGGTCTTCATTACAAATATCTAGCCTTAAAATCGTCATTAACAAACTAGTTTTCTTTTTTTAATTACAAACATAATGATAATCTTGATCTTTTTAAATCTATTAGCTATATTTTGGGTTAAATGACTTTTTATAAGGCTCATATTATTCTTAGTTCTTAAACGTGCATAAATTTCATACATTAGGACATTAATTTTAAATACGCAAATATGTTAGGTCACTAACTTAATATTCTAATTTGGCTGATAATCTAAGGCATATACTGTTCTTTTTCAGAATTACATTCAATTGGCTGAAATTACAATTTCAAGCCAGTTGGATGTACTGGCTATACTCTCACTCCTCTCTAGTAAAATGTCTCCACAAAGACTCACTTAGGAGAGGTATGCTGAGGGGAAATGAGAGAGAGAGGGAGAGGGAGGGGAAGGCAAGGAGGGAGATAGGTACAACCAAGAGATATATATCACCACGGCCTCATCAAATGTCCTCTGTCAAAAAGTTACCTGGAGACTTGTCGGGAGCTAGACAGATCCCTGGTTCGGGCGTATCACAGTCACGTGGACAGCCAGCACCCCCAGGCCATGAGCCCGGCCCAGGGCACTGACAAGCTGTGGGGCCACACCTCGCACACGGAAAGAACCTGAAGGAGCCCTGCTCCACACGCGCCAGAAGCCACGTGGAGTCTCAAGTGCACGATCTGGCGTGACGCGCACTTTTTATAAAGGCCGCACGCCTGCGCCTGCGCCCGCGCCCGCTGCGCCCACGCGAGGGCTCCGAGCAGGCGCAGTGCCTGGTCACTGACCGACGCGACCCGCGCACGCACAGGGCGCGCGGAGTCCCGCGCTCCGCTGAGTGACAGGCACGCGCCCCACCCCAGCCGCCGGGGTCCCGCGCTTGCGCCCTCCCAGCAGAGACTTACATCGAGATGGCCCACCCTCTCCCGTCCCACTCTCCCTCCTAACGCATTCTAGCAGAATTAAAATTTACAAATAACATTACCATTAAAAAAATACACACATTTTTGTGCTAGCTAGTCTCAACTGCCAATATCAAATTTCTGTATATCCATTATTTAAAACTATAAACACCTAAGATATCAATGTAGATGGTACATCCAACTAAAACTGTTAAATTGTTAAATTTGAACAATCAAGAATACGGTAACAACAGCAACAACAACAAAGCGTCAGTTTGGAAAAGTTCTCAATTTCAGGTTGCAGCCGCCTAAAACCCTAAAATTCATTTCTAATGCAGCTGTAGGATGAGAATTGACAATAAGAATGGAAGCTTACTGAGTAAAAATTTCATGGACCTTTTTCTTCTTTAGTCTGCTATATTGTCTCTTTTCATGTGCCTCTGTAGCCACCTGGAGCGCTTCAGGGCTTCCTGTTCTTTGACAGAAAAATGTTCACCCTCTAGCAGCTGACCCTGAAAGTAGATGCATTGGAGAAGGGTCTTAGAAGCAGAGCAAATAAGGTTTTGTAAGAATCCAAATCAGAGTTAGGAGTGGGAAAGGGAAGAAGGATGTGGAGTTGGGGGTTGAAAGTTAAACACAAGCTATAAATCTCATTATCATTTCCAGGGTAATAAAGGACAAGAAGAAAATGTGAAGTAAATCACTGAAGTGTGATATACTAAAGTGTGACAATTTTGTAGTTTCTGCTCCCTAAAATTTCATGGTCACATAAAAATAAGAATGGATGCAAAGCATGGAAATTACTTCCCTTTAGTAGAGTATGATTAAAAGAAACTACCTGGTAGGCTGTAAGCACAAACAGTGCACAAAATATGCCTGCAAAGCAACTGGCTGGTCACACATATAACATTCATTCAGTCATTCAACAACTATTTTGAACACTGACTGCCTGGATACAAAGATAAACTGGAAAGACTCTGTCTCTAATTTTCATGAAATGATAGTCCAGTATCTGGCTGTATGTGTTTGAAAAGAGAAGAGGAATTAATCAAACAATTTCCTCACTCATTGAACTAATATTTATCAAATGACTACAATATGCTAGACCTCTTTAACATGCTAGCAATGAACACATCTTTCCTTAGGATAGCTCACATGCTAATGAGAGAAACAATAAATAAACAAATGATATTTAGGGTAAATCCTACTAGAAAAACAGAAAGCAAAGGAGTGATGAGAGTATGTGTGCATTTATGTTTGAGTGCTATTTAAGATTTGAGGTTTTAGGACAGCTCCTTTTTGAAGGTGATATTTCAACAGAAATCTGAATAAAATGAGAAAATGAGCCACGGGAATACATAAAGATGAAACATTCTGAGCAGAGAGAATTTCAAGAGCAAAGGCTCTGAGTTGGAAATGTGCTTGCGTGTGTAATGTCATGAATGACAAATTTATTGAGCACACAATGTATTGAGCTCTAAATAGATGCTGAGTACCAAAGTAAAATCAAGTCTTAGCCTCTAAAGCTGTAATATCATCCTTCAAGGATAAAAATAGAAGCAGACACAAATAGCAAGGTCCACCACCCCAGTCAACTCCAGGTAGTTAGGAAAATTGTCTTAGAAAACCTCTGATAAAGTTAATATGTGGAATTCATATCATTAAGGGGTAAAAGAAATTGGAATCTGCACAACTGAGCCAGCTTTAAGGGAACACCATGACCATTAGAAACAAGGATATTAAATGTCCTTAGTGAGAAGAGTGCGGAAGAGGTACTGGTACAGAAGAAGAAGAAAACATATACTTTTTAGAAAAGATACGATGAGTAAAAGCATCAGTTTCTATTACCTCCAATTAGAAACAAATAATTAGAAGCAAAGTTGGTTACAATGGTGTCGTGTAAACACTAATCCCCACTGACTAAAAATCACACCGTTTGTGTGTGTGTGTGTGTGTGTACATATATATGCTGTTAATGAGTGATGTCTTCAAAGTACAATTAGTAGGACTATTAAGACAAATAAGGACAATTAAAATAATAGATTTCCGAGTGTTCTGTTATTAACAACCCAAATCATAAAGCTTTATGTTGAAAATATACTTCGGGCATTCTAAATAATTTTATTAGAAATTCTTATATTTCCGGTTTAACTAAGTAATCTGTTACCTTCTAAGAAAACAGAAGGTTTTTGAAAGTCGTGATAATCTATTCCCTTCTCAAAGGGAATCTTTGCCACATGCACATACAAACATAGGTCCGGACTTGTCGAAAAGATGTGATATGAATGGGGTTGGCCTTGATGAGATTAGTTCTCTCTTTTATTCCTAGAATACCTCAAATTACTCAGGCAAGGTTTTCTGCAGAGGCATTAGAAATGAGGAGAGTGGATAAAAATTGATCCCAAATTTTCTATGAAAATTATTTCATTAGTTTTAAAAAACTAAACTACAGATCATTTATAACATCCTTAGATTTTTGTTTCTTTGTTAGTTTGATCAGATTAGAGTTCAAGCGTAATTAAAAGTTATTGTATTCTGAAAGAGCCATTTCTAAAGAACAGTCGACACCCTTTAAGAACTGTAGCTACAAAAAAAGAGTCAACCCTCCAGGCAGGTTAAGAATTTAATTAAACTACACAAAGCCAAGGGCAAGAATTGCAAATCCATACTTTTTGAACTTCAGAGATTTACACCAAGCTACTCTTTTAAATTAATACTGGTTTACCATTCCAGTGCATAAGAAATTCACCCACTCCCTAGGCCTTTATTTCTACAGTTAAACCATGGCAGGACAAATCAAAATCAAATGTTCCAGTGCCTACTATGTGCCAAGTCCTGGGTGCAACACTCCATGGGTTTTTCACACCTTAAGGCTTGTAACAAAATAGCCTCACAAAATGATTTTTGACAAGCTCATTCTTCACCTGCTGCTCTCAGTTGAGCTGTTCTCAGAAGTGATATCCAAGGAAAGAGAGTAAACCTGAACATCATGACCCTAATCATCTACCCTCATACCTCGCAATTGCAAGTAAATAGCCTGTTAGGGGCAAATTCAATTTCTCCTTTGCTGCCTAAAGCCCTACAGCCAAGCCTGTAACTTCCTTAGACACATTTTTAGAGTCAAGTTCACAAAGTATGAACAACTGTGAAAGATCTCACTATTTATACCAGATATTCCTGTGTCTAAATGCACATAACCTACTCTCATGTATACACATATGCTCATACCGTTAATATTATTCATTCAGAATATTTAATCACAGACTTTTTTCTCCATGTAAAATCTCTCATTAAACAAAAAAGACTGATGTGATTGAACAATGACAAGAAAACGCATGTCAGTCACACTGTGCATATATGAAATTAGGAGACTCCTGGGGAACTTTCCAAGATTTCACTGAAGAAGAATGGCTTTCGGCAGATTCTGAACCATTAATTTTCTTTTATTTGAATAATTATATATCTATCAACTGAACATGAATTACAGAATGTCATTTGATCATAGTCAATCATTGTGATGGAGTCAACCAGCAGGCCAGGTGCTCCTGCCATAAAACTAATAAATCAGAGTTTTTTGAGAACAGTGAAGGATATGAATTCAACACACAAAAGAAATCTCATTATGAAAGCACACTTCCTATGCACATAAAGTGAATACTTACAAGTCAAATATTACTTTTGCTTTAAATAATAAAATTGAAAATCCCCTTTGAAGCAGTAATCGCATTTCTAGGAATTTAGTCTAAGAAAATAATTAGAATTCTACTCTAATAAAGACTTTCTCTAAGCATTATTTATAAGAATAAAATTGTAAAGACAACCTAAATATCTCTCATCAAAAGATGAATTTGTAGATTATGGCAAAATCATCTGCTGGGATATAATTCATTCTTTCCGTAACGTATTTTTAAATAACTTTTAATACCTTAGAGAATTTTCATGGTATAATTTTAAATGAAAAAAAGTAAAATACAAAAAGTATATACTTTTTTTTTTAGCATTTCATGTACATAAAAGTACAGAAAAGAGGGCTAAAAGGGAATAAATTAAAATGGCATCTGTGCTCCTCTATGAATAGTAAGATTACATAATTTCCTTTTTATACTACTATGTACTGTACACACTTCCCATGATAAGCTTGTTATACTTTTAGTCAACATAAAGTTATTTATTTTTAAGAAGGCAGGCAAGAAGAAACTTTTGAAGCTAATGGGTATGTTATAGCACAGATTGTAGTGATAGTTTCACAGGAATTAGCTCCGAACTCAACAAGTTGTATATATCAAATATGTACAGCTTTTCATAGTTTCAATCATACCTTGATAAAGTGCTTTTTAAAAAGATTTTTTAGTTGCTAATTTTGTCTAAATCTTTCTCATGCTCAAAAGTTCATAAACAGCAAGAACTACATTTATGCAAAAATATCTTGAAACTGACTCAGAAAATTTCACTCCCCCCAAAAAATTTTATGTTAGATGCTCTGAGTCAACTATTTCTTATAATTGCTGCTTTATTTTGTTAATAGTGTAAAATTTTGAGTGGTTAGTACTTTAAAGGGTGATGTTTTATTGCTATTTTTTGTTTTGTTTTGTTATATTTTTTTTTCTTCTCTGGAAAGTCTATTTTGTCCTTCCACTTGGTATAGTAATCATTAACCATGATTAGCTATCTGATTAACTTATTTACTTAAGATCCAGTTGCCACTTAATTATGAGATGAATGCTTTTACCACACAACTACATCAACATCTTCCAAAGTGATGTCAATGGTAAAATGGTCCCATCATCAAATAAGTTGAGAAAATGCTGCTTAACATCTCCCACCACTTTGCAGTTTAGAAAGTCAGAACTTAAACACGGGCATATCCTGAGAAGTACTGTTGTATAAGAGCACATCTGACTATATTTAGCCCACTCTTTCCCAAACTTGTTTTTTACAGAATCCTTTC